TCCTGCTGAGAAATTGAAATGTATAATATTTCGTTAAAATCGGTCGAATGATAATTACTTATTTAACCTCCTACGTAACCTTCTATCATCATACCTTGCTGCGATACCGTTGCTGGTAAAAGAACACCAGGTTTGGTAACGAAATCTTGCACATTACTTTTTTTTATTCTTCCATTGGTCAGATAAATTTCGAGCCACAAACGATACCTAGTGCCTGGTTTAAGATCGCTGATTATAGTCTTCGGATGAGAGTCTCTCTTGGCGATCTTAAACGTACTCGTATCCTCTTTACCACTGTCGCTTTGGTAAATTGCTCTATAAATATTCACGTACTTGTCTTCAGGATACGGTACTCCAGTCCAAGTTACTTCTACGTCTGTCGATTTGATCGTCTTGATCTCCACTTTTACGTCAAACGAGTAAGGATCTGGTTCCATCAAGGTAGTCACACGGATCTTCAAGAAAAATAGATTTGACAATGAAAGAAAATCGTTATTCTTATCACTAGTTGCAGTTTTCTAGAAACTCACTGTTTTTTCGCTGACTAACTCCGTCAACTGTCCCGGAAATGGAACGAAAAAGATGCCAATTTCGTAGGTAGTCGCTGGTCGAAGATTTTCGATTATGTAATTCCTCACCGCCCTGTGGATCAACGGTGAGCCGGTGTAAACCTTGCCATCGTGCTCCTTGTATCTCAGCAGAACTCCATCGATAAACTGTAACTCATATTCTGTGAATTTCCTCCAGATTACATTGATCCAGGTAGAATTTGTCTCTGTGACATGAAGCTCAGCGTCGATCGGTATTTGAGGCGGCAAGGTAGTCGTTTCAGCTCGTTTTTCCAGCGTCCTCACACTGTAGATCTTACTGGTGGGACTGTTGGTGAGGTCTTTCAGCTTTACCGTGATCTTCACCTTGTACTCAGTCGAGGGTTTCAAATCGCCCAGCTCGAACTCAAGCTGTGGAGTCGCGATCAGGTCGCTCGGCGGAGCAAATACTTGCGATTTCCAAGTAGATATGTCGAAATTCCTGCAGGATAAAAAGAAGAAATATCTGTTTCAATCAGCAACGCTTCCACAACGCGATATATTTATAATAGAAAGGTTTCACACTTGCAAACTATCATAAGGTATAAGTCATCAGAGGAAAAACAAACGTCGTAGCCGACGTAACAATCCTCGGAAACGTCGTTTACGACGTTCCAATATCTCGTGAAACCTGTGTTCCTGCAAATGTTAATTTTAATATTGATATGAAGTACGTTTTATCGTTGGTGTATCGCAGCTCGACGCGTCCATGAAGCCCAACTAGAACTTGCGGCACCGTGAAAACGAGGCGAACGGTGTTCTCGTCGAGGGCCTCGAGGACATGCACGATGACCTCGTCCGAGGAGGAAGCAACAGGGAATCCAGGAATGGCACCAGGTAACGGCAAACTCGTCGGCACGTTGTGCTCCATGCCTAAAGTTTACGAATACAGGTTGTCGTTATTTAAACCGCAATGATCCTCGCTGCGCAGTCCTAACGTTGATGATGCTCAGTGACGTCGACCTTGAAATCTTAGGATTCCAAGCAGCTCGAATGATTCGAGCGAATCGATGGTTACAAAATCAATCGCGAATTAATCGTCGGAAATTATCTTTCTAAGTGACTGGTTCGAAGGTCACAGAAGAAAAGACCTTTGAACGCGTTTACATTGGCTGGATTCTTGTCCTTCGTCTATTCGTCGAGACTCGTGTGCACAGTGAATAGCGGAGAAACGTAAAGACAAGAAAGGAAAGACGACACAGGTCGTTGACGGATTCAAGCTATTTCTGTGACCGACGCGATAAAGTAAAAGTTTCTTGCTGATCAGGGACGAACCTGACTGGTTGGGCGTTTGTGCTGCGAACGGATGATTCAAGTGCGTGAGTCCTGAATGCGGTATGTGAGCGTCAATGTGAAGCGGCAGAGTGGCAGTCGGGCCACTTGCCCCGTTATGAGGTATGGCTGGCTGTCCGGGATAATGTTGGAACGGTCCAGGATTGGGATCGTGTTGACCGATATGAGCTAACAGTTCCTCGATCTGCTGGGGCGAATTCGGTATATCGGGCGTGTGTATATGATAGGTCGTCTGACCGTTTTCATTCTTCTGCGTGTAAATATGCGGCTTCGTGGGTTTCTTTGGCCCGGCGGCTGTGGCAAAGTACCCAGGCTGTATCTGATTGTTCGGCGTGTGCTTCTGACCCGATATCTGTTGGTGAATGTCGTACAAGCCGGAGTGTCCTTCAGGTGGAGTGTGTTCTAGCTGAACCAGTCCTGGATGTTGCAGGTTGATCAGATGATAGAGCTCTTCCGGAAGGATCTCTTGTTCCGGATTTCGTTGGCCCTGTTTCGGGCGGCCAGCCAATCCTGTAGGTGTTTTACCCTTCTCAGCATCGAATGCATCGCTAGGGGATCCTTTCTTTTTCGGATTCACGGGCACGATCACGTTTGGGTCGACGTTGTCCGGACCGTTGAGTATCGAGCCTATATAAGGTGGACCAGCCGCCGCAGAATTATCTAGTTGCGGATGAAAGCCGTCTTTCGTAACACTCTGGCCGTTGTTTGTAGCCGTGATCGCGAATCCTGGCCCGACCATCTCCTGTTGAGGGTTCAATGGAACAAACTGCGGCTGATCCGTCACATGGCCAACTTTTTGCACCGGTGGTAACTTGTTGGGATTCACGGGGCCAGGTATAAACTGATGATTCTCATTCCCATTCACGTTCATGTTCATGTTCGCGTTCGTGGCCATCGAGTTGCTTTTGTCCAAGAACTTGTCCGGGGCCAACGGGCCAGGAAAGTAGTCGTCTTTGTGCGGTTTCACGATAGGCTCGACTGGTTTCTTAGCATCTGACTTGGATTTGATGGTCTTTTCTTTCAGGCGTTCGCCAGGCGTTGGAGGTTTCTCGGTGTGAGGGGTTAAATGGAACACGTTCTCTATTGTAGGATGCGTGGGCTTATAGTCAGGACTGTACGGTCCGTTGTACGGTATCGTCGGGTGTCCAGGATCCATGGGGTAATGAAAGAGTCCATGAGTGGTGATGTCAGTGTGCGCGTGAACGTCTTTCGAATCTTCCCGCAAGTAGGAAGTTCCAGGATCCGGTTGCTGGCTGGACCCGGCCGAATCCGACTTGTTATTCGGTCTTTTGTTACCGTCAATCGATTGCTGATTGAACGCGTCTGTGGCTAAGGGGCCGGGAAACGCGGGCGTCGCGTTCGTTCCTGCAATAAGTAACAAAGTCAATTGTCACAGACATGGTCGTTGAATCGTACGGTGTCGACCAGTTGTCCGACTTGTCCATGCATATTTACAGCGAGAGGTCCAAGTATGTACAAGCGCAGCCGTACAAAGCATGCATTTACAGATTCGTTTTTCCTGCTCGGATTGCTGTAAAGTGTTTCCCTTTTATTTTCTCGTTAATTGTAAAGGGTCAGATCTACGTAAGACAGTACGTTCCAAAGCTACAATATACGGAGGTTGAATTGTAACATCGAAGACGAAAGAATACGGGACAAAGGAAGGAGAATGTACAGTGTTTCGACGTTAGATTAAAGGCACGCGGTGTCGAGCGATGAAAATGTTTCGAATGACACGAAAGGTACCGGCGATAGGTGAGTTGATGAATAGTACGAAACGTGGGGATATACTCGGGTGTATGTACACGTCACATTTGCATTGGAGAGATCCAGTCAGGTCCGCATGGCAGATAAGCGTCACCCTCTACCCATTACCAATCTAACGGATCCTCTTCACGATAGCAGTCGCACGAAGGGAATACTATTAACGCAAACGTTAGAATCACCGCCACCAGGGAGTCAAACGTCAATCTCGACTCGATATAAACAAATTTCTACTTTCCAAAATCGTGCTAGACAGATATACAGGCTGTTCTATCTTCTATCGCCGTATTCTAGTACGTATAAACATTCTTATAACATCAAAGAGCTTCATCGGACAACGAGCTACTCGATTCGAACACCCTGCATATTTCTGGCTTATCGAGAAAGATCAACGCACAGGTGTCTTCGAACGATCGATCTATCTTCCGATCTTCCGATCATTAACGCGCCATACGGAGTCATTTTATCGACTCGTCTTTTTTACCATTTTCGTACTTTCTGTCACACGAACGTGAATTTACCTGGCGACTGGTTGGACGGTTGGACATGATTACAGCTCCACTTCAAGCAACATTCGTCACCGGGTAGATGCATTAACGCGGCCTGATAAGGCGGGCAAGGTAAGGTTGCAGGTGGTAGAGCCGGGACCAGTGGACAGGCTGCCTGACAGGACACGTTTCCCATCTCGCAGTAACATCGCTTCTCGCATCCGGTTACGTTCGCCGGCAGCTCACTCCAGTTGTCGTACGTGTTGCCCTCGTAATTGCACGAGCCATTATTTCTGCAGCGCACTTCCTGTGACGGCGAGCATCGGTTCAGTGATAGTTTATATTATTAGACGCGTATCGATTGCATTTGCGTTTGACGATGCAAACGTTCTTTCGATTGCGTAGGTTGGTTTAATCGCATAGAGATTAATTAATTCGACACTCGATAATGACAATCCGAAGAAAGATAACGAATCTAAACGAGCCTCGAAGGACTCAGGGTTTACCTGAGGGCAACAGCGAGGAGGTTTCGGGATGAAATTCGGTGGCACGGTTTCCCAGTCTAAGCAGTGAGGATCCAGTACGTCAAGTCCAAAATCGGTTGGGCATTCAATCGTGAGGCACTCTGTTTTACCACCTTCGATGCAAGTGCAAAATGAAATACACTCGTCATACCATTCTGCTCCTACTTTGTATGTTTTTCCCATGTGACTACAGGAACCTTTGTCCGCCATCTTGTCCGAGATATTTGTCTTGATCACTTCCGCGGGGAGAAAGACCTGTAGCGCCGGACCCGTTCGAGTTCCGTCTGTTACTCGCACATAGTACGAGTGTGCGGGGTCCAAATTCGATATGATACCCTCTGTATTCAAATAATTTATTGTTCTTAACCAATTCTCTCCAAGGGATTCTTAAGTTTAACTCTTAAGTTTAGTTCTTCGTTCTCACCTTTGTCAGGCTTCTGTTGCCTCCACACATGATTGTTGTCAGATATCTCCACAGTCACATCTTGCGGATTTTTAGCCGATAGCTTCAGCTTGATCGCCGTTGAGTTCAGTACCTTTACGTCCGTAAGATTTACAGCCAAGTCGCTCGAGGTTTCCGGTTTGATCTCGTGATCGCCCAAGGTAACGTCGCAGAGGGTGATAGTGCAACACGAATCTCTGAAACAGAAAATAACAAGAATTGTAAATGAACGAAGAAGTAATTTCGGAACGATGATTTCTCATACCTTGGGTCGGTAAGAACGACGCAACGATCATGTTGATTCGTTACCGAGATTGTGTCGTTCGGCGGACACCTCTGTTGACACCTTAAATTGCCACCAGCCTCACAAATACAGATCCTGGTACAGCCATCCTCTACTCGTTGGCCTCTCATTATCGTCTTGTTTCCAAAGATACAAGTCTCTTCCGGTTCAGGTGCTGTACAAGAAGATGAAATTGAAGTAAATAATGAAAATCAGGTCTGTGTTTCTAACGTATCGGTATGCATTACATCTCTCTAACTTACCTGAATCAGCAGCACAGACCAAAATGGCACAGCACGGTTCTTCGTTGACGAGTTTCTCTTGACACAACGGATCCTCGACTCCTCGATTGGCTCGGACATACGGCGAAGAACAAAGTGGCTTGCAGTCTATGGCTATGCCACTCTCACCGCATATGCACTTTTCCTCGCAACCCCTTATGATTCTTTCTCCCACGGTGTACGTTCGGTTTTCTTCCACGCACACATTCACCGTTGGCAGCAAGGTCGAAGAGATGTTTATAGCAGTTTCGTTGTGTGATGCTACGTATTCACCGCCTGCGTAAAACATCAATGTTCGTTTTTTCCATTTTTCGAAGTGTCTCCTACGATAGAAGACATTAGAGCATATCGATTGATAAATTAACATATACATAATTACCTTCGACTTCTTTGTCATCGTCGTCCATGCTGACATCGCTCAAGTCAGTGATGTTCGAGTGCAAAGAATTGGTCGGTTCTGGCGCCGAAATATTCAGTGCCCTACCCCTGAACGCTGTTGTCTCTTCCGTCGCGTGAACACTGTCGGTGCTGCTCTCTGACGTCGACGAGATGTCACTGCTCGTCGACGATTCGATCGGTATGGAGACGTTCATCGCAGTTACGATAGGTTCGCCGTGAAACAGAAGGGGGATCGTGACCCCCACGGTTTCCATCTGTCTCGTGGTTGTATCTTCGACCAATTTCGTTGACGACATCGGAGTCGTCGTGACGACCACGGCTTCGTTACTTTCGCTACGTTTCGAGTCATCGTCCTTGAAGATCTTCTGATACTTTTGCTCAGTCTTGATCTTGAAGTCAATCGGTTTCTTCTTCGGCTCAATCGTGGTTTTAAAATCCTGCTCTTTGCTCGGGTACTCCGACTTGCGATCGATCGATTCACTTCTCGCGTCACCGCGAAGCGGTTCGACACCCGGTATTTCTTCGATGACCGTACCTGAAAGTTCGATCAATTTTTCACGATGAGTTAACGTAGGTCCTTAGACGATTCATCCGTGACCAACTTGCGATGTGATATTCATCAATGTAATAAAGCGAAATAAAATAACCCGAATCGGTTCGCGTAACGGTAAAAGAATCAGTACTGTGCGCAGTATCTTTGCGTTTGGCCCCTGAACTTGGCTGTTCCGATAAAAACAAACTCGCTACAGTTCAACTATCGATTATAGACCATCGAACGATAATTAAATTTTTCATTTTTGCGATTGCAATTTCGACAATCCCTGACATTCTATTCGAACATGCCGAATTATGAATACTCGTTATAGTCTCGGAACAACTGTGCCCTTCGAAAATTTCGCTACTTGTTCGAACCGCTTTATTAAAATCCTAAACCTTCAAGCGAGCCTATGCCACGTTTATCCAGTTTTGTAACCCGCGATTTATATCGACGTCCCGTCTATTACACGCTCGCGTTACTTTCTCTTCACCAACGCGTATCCTCTGTACTATCCACTGCAACGTAACTAACTCTGTATTACCATTATTATTATTACAATTATCATCCAATCCGCAACGCACCGAAGTTTCCGAGAGGGCAATTACTTAACCGAGTTCTACGAACTGCTACGATCTACGGGGCGTTTCATTTACCTGACAGAAATACTGGAATATCTCGAGAATATTGGAGACTGGAGCACTGACGATAATTATTTGCTTAAGATGTAAAGTAGGAAACTGTATCCTAGTAACAATTGCTCTATTGGGAGAGTAGGAGAAATTTTTAGGTTAGTTTCTTTTCGCCTCCTGACGGTCATGTTTGTATTAACATAGTTTTGTTTTACCTGCTGAATTTATTTAAAACTGTGTATATATATATATATTATTTTCTTTTCTCATAATACAGTAACATTTGTTACGATCGCATGAGAATATTAATTTGACGCGGATTCAAGAGAACAGTTCCTCGAACTCCATCTCGATTCTTCGTTGGTTTTGCAAATTCACCGCGTTAATGCAAAGAACTCTGTCGCTCTTTCTCTCCGCCAATACTGCCTACGTATCTTCGATGTTATCGACAATTTTACGATTCGTAGAATTCATAATTTCTTATTATGGCTCGATAGAGCCATCAAATGTGCCCTGATGTTTTCAGAAGAATCGTGCATTAGTCCCCGTCACCGTTGCAATTGGAACAACGGTACGATCGAGAGAGACAGAGAATCACCAGTTTTCATGGTTCTTTCGCAATGGCGTAGATCTGCCAGCGATATTATGACGAGGCAGAAACTTTCCATCCGGGGCTGGAAACTGTGCACGGGATGCGCTCTTACGTCAAACGAGCTGCCCGATCTTGTCGTTCCCATCGACCGCTTCTTTCGCTGGTTTACCCGCGCTCGAGATCGAGTCCTTTTTGCCTGGCAACGATCGGCCGAACCGCGCGAGTATAACGTAACAGTATCGCGTGTCGTTTCTGCGAAACGAGCGCCATCTATCGTCTAAACCGTCAGGGGTTCTCTCGCATTTCGATCGCGTATTAGGCCGGGGTTACATGAGCGTTGAAAATACAAACGTAGTCACGTGTGTCAATTTCAATGGACGTTGCAAACTGCAGTCATACGAGCGGTAATTTTAAGCTTTGAAGACGTTTCTCAACCTCAGGTATCAGTGATTCTACGTATTTTCTATCGCTCGATATTACGCGTATAATTGAAATTTAAATATTCAAATTTAGATATTTCAACGTCGAACAACAGACATCAGGCTTCTACCTTCGAATTTTGATAGACATCTATATCACTATCAAGATCAACCTAACCCGAATAACCTCGATTCCATCGAATAGTTAGGGAATTTTTTATCGTGGACATTCTAGAACCCGATGTTTCGACCGGTTGCCAGTAGGAAGCAAGTGTTGATTGGTCGTTCCCTATCGAAAGTCGGACCCGACCATGACTTTTATCGCGGCATGAATGGGAAACCGTAACGGTGCGACCGGTTCACACGAGGCCACAGCTCGTCATCAGGATCCACCTGACGTTGGTGACCGGTCGTCTTGAGCACGGCGTGTAACGATTTTACGTGTAAGTAGGTGACGGTCTCCTTTTCCGGCGCATGCATACGTATCGATGCTAGCCCGAAAAGGAATCCAGCCTCCCCTCCACGTCACGACGACACCGATCATGCATGTCTTTCATTTATACCAGCTTCTTCGAATAGATTTCTTCTGTTGCAGGAAGAAGGTGGATTCCAGACGCACAGGTGGATCGAGAAGCTGAGTGGCATTCCTTCTTTTTAAGAAATTCTTTGAAAATAGGAGAGAAAGCGCGGAGATTTTTTCGAACCCTTTTAGTACTGTTTAAGTTAAATTGTACACAAATTTTAATATCGCGATTTTTATCTGCCACTACTTACTTTGATTTAGCGCCAGTAGAGGGTTATTCGAAAAGTCACATTTATCGGGTGAAAAAGATCCATTGAGTCGAAGGACGTCTGGTACAATGATACTTCGTGACCGATCGCGTGTACTTCGATGTATGATGTACGACGGTCGGGTTCAACTGTAGCTGAAAAGTTACGGTATATTCCTGCAATGTTTGGTAATCGTGATTCATCGTGGTAAACGGTATTTCGATGCGCTGCTCCCCTTTTGCATCTATGAAGCCTTACATCTTTTCACACACACGATTCAGATCCCATCTTGCTTTTCACCAACTTTTAACTTTGCACGAAGCGAGACGGTTTTAGCGGTGTCCTTCCATTCGGACTAAAGCATTTTTTGAGGTTATCGTGGAGGGTTCCGTTTCCGTGTACGGAAAGCATTTTGGTTTTGTGCCAGGAGGAATCGCGCACATGGGCCAAGAAAGTGTGCATCGGAACGCGGAATCACTCCTCGCGCGTTAAGAGGATCTTCACTCGGCTTCCTCGTCGCCGGAAGTCGCACGTCGTCCGTGAACCCAAGCCGAGAACGGTGCGTTCGACCGCGTTTAATTGTTAACCGCGCACTCAACTCTCTTCGCGAACGCGATGACGCAATTGAACTTGAAGAAGAAAACGCTGTAATACGTTTTCACGCTTTTCTTCATACCGTGAACACTTTTTTACCGAATCATATCTTTGTGGTTTTGTTTTTGCATTCATGAGATATAGTTACCGAAGTAGTATGCACTAGTGCTTATGAAGCTAGATAGAACGATAGAACTGTGACAGGTTAATGGAGAAATTCACTGAACATAACCTTGATTATGACGTTTCTGTTTACAAAATTTCACGATCAATGCTACGATTGCCCTCTATCGTGCTCGCTGATTAATGAACGTTTTGACTAATTTATCGACATATGGCGCTACTGGCAGTTTTCTATTATATCCTAACAAACTTACCATCCTAATTTAAACTGTTACCGGTTTCAGTTTCGTGCAGGATAATCACGTTAGCGCTTATAGCATCGTCTAGATCATTTCTCCTACATGGCGTGAATTACGTTCCGGTTTCTTCACGGAACCGTCGGTCATAATCCAACGAGCAGAGAAACTCTCGAAGCAGCTTCTGTCGTTCCTCCCAGAGACCTTGAACCGTGGTGCTTCTCGGTAGAAGAGTAGCTATTCGCGTAGCATGAGTCGTAACAAACACAACACGAAGAGCAATGTTCTAACAGTCGTGATTGGGAAACGAAAATTTGTTATCTATGAAACCTTCTTCTCTTTGCAAACTGGTCTTTCAGGAAGGAAGGAAATCGAAGGTATTTCGATTTGGAGGTTAATCGGGAGTGTAAAATGGAAGCGTGTACTCTGATATTCAGTTTGCTACAGGAAGCAAGATGGAAAAGAGAGAATAAAATAGAAGGGAACGAAATATGGATGAAGTAGCCAGAAGGTAGAGGGACGAGGGGGAAGAGGAACGTTAAAATAGTCGGTCACCGAGCTTGCCTTTGACCATACGGTATTCTATCCTACTTGTTACTCGCTGCACGATCATTATTTCGTTTCATACATCACGTTCTGTCGGTCAATTTCTTTGTTCGTCACCTTTATCGACCGATGAGTCGTTAATCGATGCTTCTTCTTATGAACTACAATGTTCATCTTTACCAACACGGAAAATACACAAGGATTCGTTTCGTTTTCTTCCATCTTTTGAATATTTCCCGCTCGAGAATAACCTTGGTCGTTGTGTTGAATCAGCGATTACCGTTACGTATTAGAGACGAGCAAGAGCGGAAGAAATACTCGGACGCAAAACAACAATTTGTAATAATTTACAAGAGAAAATTGTAGGTTAAGATTTGGCGGGAAATGTGTGCGCAGTGGCAAAAGTGTTCAGGGAGAAGCCATTGCGAGAGTCTGCACGCACTACTTGCTCGACCATGGTTTTACCTGGTATGTTACATTTCACTTGCCAACTCGTTAGACTTTTCCAGGCGACTTTTACGTCCTGCACGCGACACTACGTCTTTCGAGCCTTTTGCCTTTCGTTCGAAATCGATCGGTTTCAATACGTCTAGATCCATCTTACGCTTGTTACATTAAACATTTTTTCCGAAACGGTTCATTCGAGATCGTTGATCCCCTGTTGTGCGATTATCGAGCTTATCACCAGCTAGCGAGCAAAACGTTCGTGTGCTCGCCTCTGTACTCCAGTTGACTGGCGCGCGATTAATCAATTCCACGGTTCGTCGACCGCGTCGACTGCAGCCAAGAAATCGTGCATTTTCGCCATTAGTGATCGGTTCGACGCCATTTTCTTGCCATTGATTCGTTTATAACGTTTCGGTTTTTTCAGGTTATCCAACGATGCTCCGGAACGTGGAATCTTATCCTGCTGCCAATGTTTATCGTTTCTATGGGAGAAACGAAATCGAAACGGTACGTATATCGTATATTATTACAGAAGATATAGTCGATACCACTATAACGTGGTCGAAGTTGTTAGCCGATTTGAGAGGCATAACGTGATTTTTGCTCCATCGCCGTTTCGAGGCTCCTTGTAAAAAACATT